CAGAAATAAATGCCTCGGTCACTGAACCTCTTCAGCCTCCGGTGAGATTAATTTTTAGAATATTTTCGCGTCCTTTGGATTGGCTTTGCTGGCCTCACCGAGGTTCGAGGACCCTTTTGGGCGGTCCTAAGGGATCTCTCCCGCTGGGAGACCCCCCACAAAAGAGCTCAATATCAGGAAGAGAGTCCTTTTATTTTATTTTGTTTTATTTGGCCTCTTCTCTCTCTTAAGGAGGCTCCGTCGGATGCATGGCTCAACAGTACCACGTGTGCAAAGGACCGTGTGGTTATTGTGGCTGAGAAGTTGAATGCGGGCCAACAATGTGCTGCTGCAGCAAAGATGGCAAATGTTCCAGTGCATTACCTTTAGCTTGCATTAGCAGAATATTAGTTTCCAAATCTATGATTCTAAATTGAGGGAAGTTACAGTCCTTTAATAGTCTGTGCTTGCCAGGCCTTTTCCAGTTCTGCATTCAGTTCTGGTCACCTCATTTTAGGAAGGATACGGACAAGTCCAAGCAAGTCTGGAGAATGGCAATGAGGATGAGAAGAGAACACGAGGAAAGGAGCAAGGCATGTTCCGCCTGGTGACACAATGGTCTTCCAGTTTGGCCCCAGAGCTGGGATTATGGATTGAAATGACAGGAGGGTATATTTACTGGAATATTAGGAGGAAGTCATTGACAATGGAAGTGATTGGCCACAGAGGTGTTTGGTTCTTTTTCTCTTGGAGATTCCTGAGACAAACAGCTGGGTTGTCAATACAGGTATTGCAGTTCAGCCTGTGATTGTGTCTAATGATCAGGGTACTCTGGATGATGGGAGTGACAATGAGGGGCTCGTGTCTGATGATCAGGTTGCTGTGGAGCAGTGAATGACAATGTGGTTCATGTTCAAAGTGACTCTTCTCATGAGAATGTTCCTGAAAGGATTGGGGATGATGGTCTGTTCCCTGGGCCTGAATTGTTACAAGAGGATCCTCAAGGCCTTGAGCCTGGTCCAGGTGCAGAAGTTAATGAACCTCTGTACAGAAGTATTTTCAGTCAAAAAAGTCAGCAAATACAAACAAACCAGTCTCTCAGGTGCTCAGTCAGATTACAGCAGAGGCTGGCAGGGAACTCAAGGCTGAGAAAAAATCCTTTCTTGGCTGCTTGGGAAATACAGTAGTAGAGAGACAGTAGGGATACAAGTGTCAAGTACAGAATCTGTAGCCAGACGAAGCAACGTTGAATTTAGGTCAAAATCTCTTCCTAGGTTCCTAGATGTCTTGTTTTAAGTGCCTTGTTATTCATGTTTACGTGCCTTGTTTGATTCAAGTTCAAGTACTTTGGAGGTTTTGCCTTGGAAATTCCAATATTTGTTTTCATGGACTCTTCTGGACTATTTTCTTGGATTATCTGTTCCTATCTATCTTTTCTACCTATTTGGATTTACCTTTTACTGTGGATTACTTTTTACTGTTACTGCTTTTAATTATCTTCAATAAACTGCTTGCTATATTACTCAGCTGTGTGGTATTTGTAGTCAGAGGGATTCCTGGGCTGGAGTGCAACAAAAGGGGTTTAACACACATAGAATCGAAGAGTTGGAAGAGACCTCCTGGGCCATCCAGTCCAACCCCATTCTGCCAAGAAGCAGGAAT